GATTGAAGTGTTTTTTGCCCCCAGCCACCCCCTTCTTTGTTTTTTTGTTTTTTTTTTTACTTTCTTTAGTTCTAAACCATTCAACTTCAGCGGACACTAAATGTTATCTTGCCAATCCATTGTCTGCTAACTGCCATAAAACAATAAAAACACAAAAACGGACACTGGGCAGCAATACAAAAAATATTGAAATGTCACAATCTCACAGCCGATATTGTGACATTATGAAGTTTTAGGCTGTGGACCAATCTAGCTATTGTACATTTTCATGTGAGACTGGGCTGCTTATCATCATTATTACTATTATCATTATTGGCAGCAGCAGTAGTAGTAGAAATTCAGTGTGCGCAGTTGGCGTTGCAGCAATGTTTCAATCACAGCCAGTCACATCAGCTCCTCACATCTTATCAGCCAAAGGAGCTTCCAAGCCATTGCTCCTAAAAGATAAAACTTTTTCATGGAGTTTAAGAGTCCCAGGGCAGAAATAGAGTACATGCTGTAGTACCCATTATAAGATTATAAAGTGCTCCAAATATGTTTCCAAGTATAGATAATAACCCGTTTAAAGCTGAATGGACAATTCATGTCTGCTCCCTCTGCACAGTTACATGCATTATTTTAGAAGACAACAATATGCAGTACTGTACAACTACAGTGACCAGTAACTCCATAAAATGTTTTTACAGAATAGAAACTTGTTTGTTATGTATGTGCTTTTTTGATTTGAACCCTCCATCACTTGTAGAATGTGGTTAGAATCAGTCCCAGTAGATGGATGTGCAGTCAGCTGCCATAGTGAAAGAGACGGCAACTGTACACAGATTGTCAGTGCAAATTGAAATCATGTAGGCGAGCTTGCTCATCAGTGAGCAGATAACTGTATAATTGTTTAGCAAAATCTGTTCTTTGGATCACCTTTCATTGTGTCCCACAGGAGCACGAGCAGTTGAGCTACTCGTCAACTCGCAGCAAAGCTCCCAGTGTGATCATTTCAGGTCTAAAACCAGCGACCTGGTACGTCTTCAGTGTACGCACACGCACAGCAGCTGGATACAGCTCCTACTCCGCTAAATATGAATATGAAACTACAGGGGACTGTAAGTACCATCTACAGCACTTGTTTGTGGGCAGGAATACATCTGTCTGTGTGTGAATGTGTACTTCTGGTGATGACAGTGTTTTCTGAGCAAAACAAAAAGATAAGGAAACTTCTCCAAAACATAGTGCTGCTCCTTAGCCCTGCAAACAACTAGGTCAGGACTTTGATTTGGGGTTAAGATCATAATTAGCACTGGGTTTATATCAGGTTAAAGGATAGAAATGCAGTTTTGCAAAAATCATGTTGAATAATGGCAGCACACAAAACGGTTTATTCTCACCCCAATCCCAGTGTCCACACTCACAGAATCACAGATTTTGTGGCACGTCCCTGCTGAGTGAGGGCTCAAGGCTGGCCCACTGTGAAATCATCATGTGAGTGAGGTCTCTCTTGCCTTCATTTTGAGCCCTTTATGCTCAATTTCCATAAGTCAGCATTTCTGCAGACTTTACCCTGAGGGAATCCCCCCCCCCATTTCATAGCGTTGTGATGTTATGTAAGACAGGAAGTGTAAAAAAGGTAAACAAATGCCATAAAATAGAGATAAGAAAAATGACAAATGGTAAGTGAACAGTCATTCTTGTGTTAACTGATGTTATTCTAATGTTTTTGTATGTTGCTTTGGACAAAAGGATCTGCTGAATACTATAACTTAAATACCCTATATTAAAAAACGTAAAAAGCTCTAAACGCCTAATAGCTAGAACCATGACATCATTGGCGTCGTCACGATGATGTGATAGCTTAAGTGAAAGCTTAAGTACTGTCCCATTCCTGTTCATACAATTTTCCAGTCCTGTTTTACTGGTGATGTCATGAAGGTCTTTGAGGGTTCAGGGTTTGAGACCTTAGGGAGATCACTGGGATTGGGCCTTAGCGCCAAGTTGGGATAAGAGTCAGCCATCCATCCACTGTGTATGGAGAGGGCTCATTTTCAAGACAGTACATCACAGATAGAGATGCCAGCTGCAAGCAACAGTTCAGGGTAAGATGAAGTTTATAAAGCCTGGAGCAGCACCAAGGGCAGCCTGCTTTAATGGCACAATAGCAAATAATAAACCTGGATATGAGCCCACGAACAGGAGCAGCAACAGTAGGAGGCCAACTAGTAACTTTTTAATAAGATCCTGGAACACATATCCAGGAAAGGACACTGAACACGTGCAGCCACAAAATCACAAGCACCGGCACATCACATCTTCACTGTCATGTGTCCGTCCTAGCTGTCGGGTAGTTTTCAAATTTAATCAGAATTGTTAGAAACACATGTACAGGAAATGTGGATGTCGGAAGCACAATTTGCAGCCTTCAGCTTACTGTACCACAGCCTTGAATAAATTACTGTTCCAACCCATACTAGGCCCTTATTGATTTCTGATTGTGCTGTTCTTACATTGCACAAAACATTTGGCTTCAGTTTATTGCAGTATTAAATCAAATTGTCCTTTGTTTAAAATGCTCTCCAAAGCTTGTTACAGACCTAGATTTTATCCCTTTAATATAAATTTCTATATTTTTTAAAGGTTAAAGCAGGCCATTTCCTATATTAACTGTATTTTCAGCAGAGACTGAAACCATCAACGATTTACCTCTGTTCATGATTGTCTGTAAATCTGCCCCGGATTACGCCGATGTTCAAAAACAATTCAAGACATATCAGAGAAAGACACTTTCTTCATTATGAAACTCGACTAATATTTGTTAAGAATATCCAGAGATCTCGAACCGGGCCCCTTGACTCTTGCTTACTTATTATGAGTTATAAGTTCGAAGGCTTTGAGACATTATCTTTTGAAAATCCCAAGGTCTGGTGTTTTGTAATGAGGAAACAGGTCACCCAGTACAGCTTTCTGTTTCCCTGGTGTGTTTTTAATCATTCTTGAACAACAGTGGAGGTCTATGGCACAGACAAATAAACTAATCCAGTTCTGAGAGACTGACAGACATTCATCATGACTAAAGGCAAGTCACTGTTGGTTTTAGTCCATGCATGGGGAGTGTTGAAAATACTATTAAGCAGCAGTAGCTTTTCTATAGTTCTATAGTATATTTTCAACATGTATCCAGTTAAAAAAGCGCACACTTTCTTAGAGTGAAAAGTGATATATTCAAATACACCACTGCTTTTTGGTCACTGTCTGCAGCTGGAGCTCCCATTGCTATCACACTGCAACGAAACATTGACCTCTCTGCAGTAGGAATTTTGTATGGGTTGCATTAACGACCCCTAAAGCTCTGAAAGGCCAGGATAACCGTGGCAAAAAAAAAATTGAATACAATCTGACAATACAGCCTTGATGTTTAGTGTATTTTGTGTGTGTGAGTAGTGGCTTTATTGCAAGTCTACTCATAAAATACAAAGGTCCAGCTGCCCTTTTATGTCAGGTCAGGTATTGTTGAGGGGTGATTTGGCTTCATACTGGCCCTCTCCCTTCCAAAGCTGCAGAGCTTTATCTGCGGATCAGACAGTGCTTGGCCAAGCCTTTGTACTGCCTGGCCTTTTATCTGGAAGAGAAGGCAGATTTGGCCCCTGTCACTCTCTCCCTCTCTGTCAGTCTGTCTGTGCACCTGTCAGTCACTGTCTCATATGCTCGTCTGTCCATCCGCCTGTGTATGTTTGTCACTTCCGCCTCTCTCTTTCTCCTCTTGTTTGTCTTTATCTCTCTCCTGTCATCGTTTTCTCTCATCCCTCACCTCACATTTTCCATCCTGCCACGTGCCATCCCTCGCTCTGTCTCCACACATACTCACACACACACCTCATTACAGCAGCGTGAGATGACAGACCCATCTGCTTTGTTAGTGATGTGTGTGCGAGGCTGACGGTCAGGAGAAATGTCTTATGCGATCTGGCCACTTTCGCTGTCTCTCCCTCTGAGTGGGCTATAATTGCTTGTCAAACGCACACGCTCACATTCTTGACCCCACCCACCAACCAACCCTCCCACCCACACACGTGCTCTTGACTTCACGCTTAACATACCCACATACTGGGCAATATAAACCCACATGAGCCTCACTCTTTGGGCTGGTGACCACGCACCCTGATCTTCAATTCATAGTCATTAAGCGTGAAATATTATAGAAATAAGTTTGGTAATAGCAATCATCTTTCAATTATCTGGGATTCGTTAGACTTGTGACAAGAGACAGAAAGGGGAAAATCATGAATATCAAATGGGACCAATTTAACTAAATGATCACGGACTACATCACAATTTCATGAGTGAATAACATTAATTAAACAGCAGCAGGCATATAAATCATTCCAGTACGAAAGTTAACGGAGGGTTTTTGTGCATGACAAAGAGCTGATCAAACATCTCTCTGTAATATCGAGTGATCAAAAGAGCCTACAGAGTCTATGTATGTTGCACTGATGGAGAGGAATATTTAAAATGGTACTAAATGGAAATGTGCTCTTTTTTCTCATTTTATCCTGCCTACCATCTAATTTACATACCTCTTTTCTCTCCTTACTGCTTTTATTCTCCTTACCTGCTCTCTATATGAAACTTCTCATCCTTTTTCCTCCGCACATTGTTTTTCTGTTCTCCCTTTCCCCCACATCCTCTGGCCTTTCTTCTTTTTTGCTTTTTATTCCACATGTTCTCACTGTCCAACCAAATTACTTTCCAAACATTGCCCATTCTCCTCCACCTTCAGCGTCAGACATGGCTTCTGATCAAGGCCAGGTGCTGGTCATCGTCACAGCCGCGGTCGGTGGCTTTACCCTCCTCATCATCCTCACCCTCTTCCTCCTCATCACTGGGAGGTAAGATGATTTGATATATTGGTACAATTGTTGGTTTTTCTGACTATAACCATGAGGTGTCCGTTAAAGTTTACTGTAATGTCCCATGATGCTCTAAATGCTGCTGCAGACACCTCTGCATGCTGACTAGAACAGAGCCCTGAATGAAATATTAAATAGTGGCAGATTTATTCAAAAAGTACTGATGCTAGCTTTGAGAACTTCACATTGGTCTAACCCCTGTCACTTTTAAGGCTTTGTTGTGCTTTCTTACTCAGGGTGAATGTGTACAGTTTCCATATGAAAATATCTGCCCCTATGTGTTGTTCTGCAGGGCGTAGACAAATAATGTACTTTGTCAATTAATTTGCAGGACTTGTTGGTCTCTACCCTACCCTAGTACATCCACATGGGCGTTTTTATTTATATGGCTGATTAGACCTCTTGCCAGGACTGAGTGGGTGCACAGACCAGTCTTAATTGACATCTCTTTCACTCACTCACTGATTTTTCATGCATCTGTCAGGGCAGAGCAGTTTATCAGGCTTATCACTTGGTGGAGTTTTGCTGCTGACCTTTCGCTGAAGTAATATTTGTCTCCACTCAGAGAGGTGGTCTAATCAGCCAGACTAACTCACATGTGAATGGATGTGCAAAGCCTTAATTGGTCTGAATGTCCCCAAGATATCACTACCATTCATCTAAATTCAATTTTTGTGTGAGACCAGGTCAAACTATAAGTGGAATGAGATTTAGGCTAGACAGCTAAAGACGAGTTCTTGCGAAACCCAGCATTTACAGTACTTTGAACCTCAAACGCAGATAACTTGTTCTCCGCTGTTTGTCCCACTTGCCCCAAATAGCCTGTCATCTCCATAGCTGTGTTTTTGTCAAAATGTCTGCTGTTTTTGGCTGGTGAATGAACTTTATATTCCTGCTTGCACCTATCGCTTCATATTTCTTGGCTTGCACAATATTACCTCCTGTGCACTGGCAAAACCTTTCACTACAAAGGTCCATATTACTTTGCATCAACAGCTGCCCACTCAGGATACCCCTGAAAGCAAGAGATGCCAAAGTCATTTGGAGGAAATATAGGCTGGTGTTAGTTTTTGCACAGGTGTCTTACTTGGATCTGAACTTAGAGAAATTAAAAACATAAATGTGCAGGTGAAATTATGGTGTTGTATTTAGGCTCAAAATAAGTCTCTTCATATATATTCTGATGATGATTATGGTTATTATATTCCATTACAGAAGATTTGCTGCTTTCAGCCCATCTAACCAAAACAAAGCACAAGTTGAGTAGTGAGGCACTACACAAACACACAAAACACACATTCATAGAAATATACAGGGACATACTGAAAGGCAAATACAAGTCTGCCCTCACACTGAATACACACAATCAAAACGTTCCCACACACACACACACACAGCAAGTCTGTTTTTCTGTGTGTAGACTTGCGTTGGTGTATGACTGTAAGACTGAAATCAACAACTGGGGCAAGAAAAAGATTAAACTTTATTTCAGAAATACAGATGTATGGCAAGAAGGCAAGGCAATTATGAGGTAAATAAAATATTCAGTGTTGTGAAGCTAACTAAAGTAAAGTAAAGATAAAACGCAATCCAATAAAGAAATGAGGGAGCTAAGTTGTGACTGGTCCCCAGTATTCACAGCAAATGAGATCCATTCAGTAACAGATCAGACTGTGCACACTGCTGCTGCTTGTTGTTTTGGTGCCATCTTGAAAAATATGCTCTTGATGTGAGTCACATCATCCATAGATTACTGAACACTGTCATTTGGGCAATTACCAGAGGCAGAAAACCCTAGTTTGCATAAATAAGATGCGTCACCATGGCAGAGATGAGCAAGTGGCAAATATCAGATTTTATATTTTAACAGAGACATTTAAGGTTTTCTCTGTCACATCAACACAGCCTGACAGACACATTTACTAAGCTTTTTGCATCTTGTTTCTTGTGTCTTGTGCATAAATCTGCAAACTGTTTCTTGCCAACCTCAGTTTTGGTGAACTGACACACATATCTGATACACAAATTTGCGCCGCAGACCAACTGCAAATCATCTTGACAGTGCTGACCTTTGTGGAAGAGTCAAAAATGGAGAAATGCTCCTGTCTTATTAGTCATGTTGCACCACATGCTTTCACAGTATTTAACCCTTCTCTGTGAGAATTTAAACTGTTCTGGAGAAAAGAATAGTCAGTTAACAAGCTAGTTAACTCTGGGAGCTATTGCGATCATAATTTTGACTGTCTAGCATTTATTCCCAGCTGGTTTGAATGTTAGCCCTTAGTTTGGCAGCTACAGTAGTTCACCTACGAATTCTGTGATGTCAGCAAGCTTCCTATTTCACAAGGACACACAAATGAACACAAAATATGCCTCTGTCTCTAATGTAACTATCAGTGGATCTCTTGGTTTCAGCAAGAGTGAGAAAATATTTAGCGTAATACTTGAATTCATAAAGATGTTTATGTGAAAATACAATGGACACTGGATTTGAGCTGTGGGTTAAGCAAATAAATCTGACATTATGCTGTTAGATTGAGCAGTGAACATCACAAATATAAGATCTTTTTTTTTTAATCAGAGAAGGTGCATCACTTCACAGGGAAGGCCTTAATTGGTTAACATGATTCTATTGTCAAAGCAGTTTTACCTCCATCACCTTTACAAACAAGCTGAAAGCAGTAATTTTATTATAGACATTTACTGTACAGTACAGTATTTTTCCAGTTTTTGTGATGTCATTTGGTGCTGGAGGGTCTGCGTTCCTCTCACACACACAGGTGCAAAAGCTAAAGCAAGCCAGGCTGTTTGCATTCTTGCACAAGAAGGACCTTTATATGCGGATCTAGCTAAAAGCAGTCACAGTACAGGAGTTGGTTTTTTGACTTTATCACAGTCTGTCATATCTGTGATGCTTCTGGCCTGTGTAGGAGGGACTTTCACTCTTCTGGTTTTAAAAAAAGATCCAAATGTACTTGAGCTGCCTGAGAAAGATGAGAGCTTTCAGACACACAACACTCATAGATGTAAGGTTATACAACATTAGTGAAGTTATAAGAGGACCTGCTGTATGAGTAGTTTTAACACCTGGCTGCTGTAAAAGCTGCCTAAATTTACATCCACGCTCATATAAAATCTGAAGGGTTAGAGCTTCTATCAGCAGATCTGTCATGATTGCACACCCTCGCTGCAGAATTTTACTTTGTCTACTTGTAACCATTGAAGTGTCATGCCTGCAACTCTTTATCATTTTCCTCATATTCTTTAATCCCTCATTTCTTCTGCAGCAATGAGGATTGTCATGGTGAGGTGACTGTTAGGGATGTTAGGGTAAGAGGGGAGTGGTTTGAATTATAGTCGTGCTTTGATTAGGGCTGTGGGCAAGGTTGTTTCACTGAGGTGTGTGTGGGTGTGGGAAGTGCTTGTGAATATGCAATGAAACAATACTGGCAATAACAAAGAGAGCAGTGGAGGAAGCCAAGGTTTATGTGTGTGATAACAGTCTTTATGTGTGTGGCTCTTTTCAACATGAAAGCCAGTGAGACAGAGGGATAGGTGGATAAAGGGGATCAGAGGATAGGACTGGAAAAGACTGATAAAGGCGCATGCCACCGTTTTTGTAATGAACAGCTTGACCCCATCAGCAGAGGTCAACAGTAGCTTTCCAAATCCCCCTTTTCTTTGTCTGCTAGTGTTACCCATCATGTTATCTGCTCTGTCTATCAGTGTCCAGGATCCCACAGACTTCACTTAGCCGAAGCCCAGTGTGGAAATCTGTGGCTTGTGGCCCTCTGACATCTGCTCTAGTCTGGCAACCTGGATTATGTTAAGTCTCCAAAGAGAAGGAGGCTCATCTGTGATCACATGAAACCACACACACATTTCATGCAAGCAAGCACCGATGCACATGGTTTCTCCACTAGTACGGTGGTGGCATTCTCCCCCCTAACACATCCAAGCACAGCCTGGATTATCCCATCATCTCAACGGTTTATTTGGACATACATTTCTCCCTACTATTCAGGGGATGTTGTTTTTGTTTATTAGGACAGTTACAAAGGAGGTAACACCTTTATCTTGCAGGGGTTGGACAGACCTACTGATGTAATGGGCCCGACCTACTGATGTAATGGGCCCATCGTCCTCTTTGCCAGCCAACATATTTGTCTATAATATATTTTTAACCAGTAAAGATACTGACCACAGGTTGACCTCTGTCAAATCTTGTTGTCAACACAGTGCAAGGCAATTATGAGCCAAACATCTCAACATGAAACCTCAAAAGATGCTCATAAAACCACAGAATATCTATGGCACAGGTTGTGACAGGCAATAACATTACTTCAGCACCATGGAGGGCGCAAGTAAGTCACAGTCTCAAACAAAGCAACAAACAGCTTCAGCACTTTGAGCATGAACTCTAATTAAATCAGTAATACCAGCGTCAGTTGCAACGACATGCTAATGTTAGAAAGTTTTTTAGCAAACACAGAGTACATTAAGGTGTATTTTCTCGGTTTACCTTACTTTCTGACAGATAAACATACAAACAAAATGTTTACTCGCATGTGCTCTAGTAGGTCTGTGTACATCTGTGATTGTGCTTTAAAGATCAACACAACAAAGTGAGCTCCATAAACCAGCTGTCTACAAGTTGATGTCCATTCTTCTCTCCTTCCCAAACATAACAAATGACTGTTTCTGTCTATATCAATATCCTGTTCAATACAAAGTAGGGTGAAGATGGAGAGTCGGGCCTCGTTCATACAGTACTTGATGACTTTTGGTCAACTAAAACTCTGCTCAACACTGGCACTGGTGACCGGTATAGTCTGAAAGTCTCGTGGGTATGCATCATGCATATCATTAGAAATGAGAAATGCCAGGACAGAGGCAGTGTCAAGATCCATAGACAACACATTGTGCTAAAGGAGGAAGCTCTTCCTCCACCTCCTGGCTCGGATATATTCTCAGAATAA